AAAACAGGCTCGACCCACGTCCCGTGCCAGTGAGGGCAGCCACGGTGTCAGGGCATAGGGTCAGTGGCGAGGACCGGCTCAAACTCAGGCAAAGTTGAAGCAAATAGCCTCAGGAGGCGAAAGAGTTGAGGCATCTGATGCTAACACATGAGACACGGAGCTGTGCTCCAAGACTTCTGCTCTTCGTCCTTGCCAGTGGCTAAGAGGGCCTAATGCAGGAATCTAGCCTGCGGAGGAGGGGAGGGGGGGTGTGGAGAAAAACTCCAAGTCTAACATAAGACGGGAGTTAAAGGCAAAGTTGCCACGCTGACTGTTAGGTGAGAATCCCAGCAGAGACCCAGTCCCACAAACAGGGTCAACGCAGTGGAACAGGATGTCCCGGGGCCCAGGAGTCGCTCCCACCACATCTCAGGCTACGTCCTACCAGCTGGTGAGGCTGGGGCTGCCCATAAACCTCCTTTCCAGATCCAGATTAGCTCAGGCCCTAGAGAGAGGCTGTCAGCAGACAGGGCCCATGAGCAGTAGGGAGCCAGGCAGGCAGGCACATGCTGCCTACACCCAGATTCAGCACTGTCCTCATCTCCTAAAAGACCGGACAGGAGCCCAGGGATGGCTGCCAGCTGATCTACTGTCTACTAAGTGACCTTTGCCAGCAAGAGACACACTAAGAAGTGTCCCTTCCACGGTGCCACGCTGGCTTAAGTAATTTTATCTCCAGAATCCTCTTTTAAAATGTAACAGTCCTGGGGCGCCTGGGTGGCTTAGTCGGTTAAGCGGCCGACTTTCGCTTAGGTCATGATCTCGCGGTTCGTGGGTTCGAGCCCCGCGTCGGGCTCTGTGCTGACTGCCAGCTCGGAGCCTGAAGCCTGTTTCAGTCTGTGACTCCCTCTCTCTCTGACTCTCCCCTGCTCACGCTGTCTCTCTCTCTCTCCTAGAAATAAATAAAAAATATTAAAAAAAATTAAAAAAAAAATAAATAAATAAAATAAAATGTAACAGTCCTTACAAGGTGAGAAAAACACAAAATCAATTATCCATTAACATCTTAGACTTTTTTTTTTTTAATAGCAGAGAGAGGACGACCTATCATCTAGGCAGACTCTGAAGGAATCAAAGGTTTAAAGTATTTCTTCATGTTTGGGATTTGCTAAGGGTGTGATTTAAGAGACCAGAGGGGATTAAGATACAACTCGATTTTTCTCTAAAACATTACACCCAGAATATAAATAAAAACCAACTAACAAGGATCAATCACCAAATAAGGCCTTTTGAGGCAGCTCAAAACTTACAGTGAAACAAAGAAATTAAACAAGCAAAGGGGAAACCAGGATTCCCGGAGAAGACAAAAACAAAAACGCTTTTGAATCAAATGAAATTAGTTCTTTCTTGGAGAAATTTCGGTCTCTTGGCCAAAGAGAAATAGGTATTCCAGCCCATTTGTTCTCAAGCCTCCTAAGAGGAGACCATCAAATCTACACAAATTAACTAATAATGACAATCAAAGGGAGTAAAAGATCAGACAAGGTTAATGTATACACCAAATATATAAGCTCCACATTTCCCTACAGTTTAATTTCTCAAAATTCAAAAATGCCTTTACAAGACTTAAATGGACTTTTTAAAAGCTTATTAAAACTACTCTCTTACAATGCTGGAAAAGCACGGGCTCCTGGGAAATAGACCTCTGAGTCCACCTGCATTTATTACAGGAACGTGAAACTGAAAGCATCTCAACTCTGATACTCTTTCCAGGATTTTCAAAAAAAAAAAAAAATATATATATATATATATAGGTTTTCAATTAGTTAAGTACCAATCAATTATAGAACTAAGATATTGCCATCAACTTAATTTAAACACTGAAAGTTTAGGGGCGCCTGGGTGGCTTAGTCAGTTAAGCATCCAACTTTCGCTTAGGTCATGATCTCGCAGTTCGTGGGTTCGAGCCCCACGTCGGGCTCTGTGCTGACTGCCAGCTCAGAGCCTAGAGCCTGTTTCAGAGTCTGTGACTCCCTCTCTCTCTGACCCTTCCCTGCTCACGCTGTCTCTCTCTCTCTCTCTCCTAGAAATAAATAAAACATTAAAAAAAAAAAAAACCACTGAAAGTTTAAAGTCCCAAATAAAAGAAGGCTGTTCACTAACAACTCCTTTAAAATATATCATCTCCTCTATCCCATAACCTCCCATGCACATTTTATATATTTTTAAAATTTATGTCTTTATAGATCTGGCTGAAACTAATGGTACAGCGGATATTGAATACCATATGGATATTAAAAGTGATTTTTATAGAGGGAAAACTACAGAATGAAGAAGAGAATGATAAACTCCAAATCCTGGATTTATGAGTAAGTGGGGTTTGGACTGAGCTAGGACTGGGAGAGGAGCATCCAGGGTCCTCAAAGGCAATGGTGATTTTTTTTTAACGTTGATTTATTTTTGAGAGAGAGATCAAGAGAGACAGAGAATAAAGGGTGATGGGCAGAGAGAGAGGGAGACACAGAGTCCAAAGCAGGCTCCAGGCTCTGAGCTGTCAGCACAGAGTTTGACGTGGGGCTCAAACTCACAACCTGAGCCGCAAGATCACAACCTGAGCCAAAGTCGGAAGCTTAACTGACTAAGCCACCCAGACGGCCCAGTGACATTTTTTTTTAAACTGAGTGATGGGGAGGCAGGTGTTCTCTGTACTGTTTTTCTCCACACCTTACTTATATTTTATAATCTTGCTTAAAATATTCAATAATTAACAAAAGTTATTTTAAAAATGAGTTTATGTGACTATCATTGCAGAAGGTATAGGGAAACATTTGTAAATCAGATTCTCCCTTCAAAACATTTTTCAACAGCTATGTTGCTCAACAAAAAGTAAGACAGTTAAGAGTATTCAGTGTGTACAGTAGCCAACCCATGGATCATCTGAACACTTCAGCAGAGTTAACAAATCAATATTATTTTTCACACAGACACAATTTTTTCTCACGTTATACTATTTCATTCTGCTTACTTTAAAAAAAAAAAACTAGGGGCGCCTGGGTGGCTTAGTCGGTTAAGCGTCCGACTTTCGCTTAGGTCATGATCTCGCGGTTCGTGGGTTCGGGCCCCGCGTCGGGCTCTGTGCTGACTGCCAGCTCAGAGCCTGGAGCCTGTTTCAGTCTGTGACTCCCTCTCTCTCTGACCCTCCCCTGCTCACGCTGTCTCTCTCTCTCTCTAGAAATAAAAACCTTAAAAAAAAAAATTAAAAAAAAAAAAAACTATTTTGCACTCGGCTTCTGTGTAACTTTCACCATTTGGCAAAAAATACAATCAAAATCACAATTTTCTTGTTCTCTGAATAAATCTGAAGAAATGGAAATAGGGTCACACCTCTATGAACAACATACAACAGGACTATTTACATCACCTCAATTGATTGTAAAATTAAATTAAATATTTTGGTAGCAACAGGCTCTCAGTTTGCCTGTCCAACTGCTTGGTGCCAAGAGGAATTCCGAAGTCAAATACCAGGAAAAGACACTGGATACCCTAATATTCCTCTTACCATGACCCCATATCTACGTTATTTATTCTGCTTTCAGTAGAAATGTCTTAGATACTTTAGCTTCAGATCTGTTCACACACATGGAGTATTTAATTCTGTAAGGACACTCGAATTTGAGAATTCCTGTGGTCCTCAAAGGACAGGTATTTTCAGTATTTCAGAACACCTAACACATACATTTACCTATAATTTGGCCATGCTAGAGAATGAAAATATGTTTGCTTTTTCCACTGGGATTTAACCAAGCCTTCCCAAGTGGTTACCTCATGCAGAGTATTCAGACATATGTCATTAATAAAAATAGAAATATTAATCATGATTACTTAGGACGTGTGGTCTGAAAAATCATTCAAAATAGGAGGTCCATGAACAAAAAAACAAAAACAAAATATGAGGTCCATGGGGCAAAAATAATAAAATCAGTCTTTTATTCCTGGTATTGGTTTTTTCACCAGTTGGGTTGGTACTTTCAAAACTGCAACAACAAAATATGAAGACCACTGTCCTGGATGAGGTCTGACCGTCACTGCTTTCAAACACCCCAGAGAACGTTGACTTCCTGTTAAGAGTCTGTAAGCCAACCTGCAATTTATTTAGTTTATTTTTTAAATTAATTTGCTTTTATTTTATTTATTTATAGGGTTTTTTTTTTTATGGGATTTTTGGGTTTTGGAGGGGTAGGGTTTTGTTTTCTTGCCAGTTCAATTCTCTGCTCCTCCATCTTTATAAAACAGTTAAAAGTTGCGGAAGTGGTGAGGGAAAGTGTTTCACAGCACATCTTCCTGCCACAAGCCAGGCTACCAGCACCAGGACTGTGTTTCTCTTTTCCATAGCTTCCAACTTACCTTAAAATCAAAAAGAGACCCTCCCCAAACTACTGACCTTATAACATTAAAGACTCCGGGTGTCTGAACAAAGCCAAACTAAAAAGAATGATTTTAAGTCATAACCTTTAAAAACTTACTTAACCAGCTTTCCAAATAATCCCCTTTGGCCCCGTAGGACGGCTTAGGGAACAGGTGTAAGGCATGCCTTCCTAGAGGCTGTCTCCTCCTTCACGAAGCTGACCTTTTCCAGCCAGCAGCTCTGGCACCCCACGAATCAGTTATCAGTAGGCCTAATGCCTGCTTTCCCATCTGCACTTTCCAAATGGCTCCCGATGCCAAGGGCTGAGCTATGACCTGGCTCTCAGATGAGAACATGCCTCCTAAATGATGTGCCAAGTTTCCCTGGAAGCATTTCTCAGTGTATTCTCTGACCTCCCTCCCCACCCTCTCAGTTATGGCTCATTCCTCCTTCTTTCCCTGCACTTGCTAATTCCACTTCCTCATCCTGGGCCTCCAATACCATGTGCTTTCTGTCCAACCTCCTTACCCACTCCCAGCCCAAAACCCCAACCTCACATCCAAGGGCAGTTTCAACAATTTTGCAACTGGTGTCCAATGATCTTTTTGAGGCCTACCTGCAGGCAGCTCAGTTACGGCTTCCTCCCTTGCCTTCTCCAGCTTCTCCCTAACCCAGGGGAACTCCTGCAAGGACTCTAGGAACACATCAAATGCTCTAGGACCCCTGGAAGGTAGGATATCCAGCAGCAGCATTGTCTTCCGGAGGCCTGTGGCTTGAGCTTTGATTTCCTCAACGTGGTTTTCCGTCAAGACTCCTTCCTGGTAAAGATATTGAAGAACGAGTCCCTCCACCAGTACCTCTGCACCCAGCTCCAGGCGGAGGGAGCGAAGCACTTGCTTGTCTCTAGCCTCCATCTCTCCCTGGGAAAAGACAAAATCATAGCTCGGATTACAGGAACACCGACCAGCTCCTAAAGACAGCGCGCCCTGCATGCCATGCAAACTCCTGAACGTCAGGTGTATCTTTGAACCTTAGCAGAGTGCCACGCCATGGTGTTTAATAGCCGGCTGTTAACATCAACGCAAACTAACCTTGAATGTTTCCGAACATAATGAACAACCCTGAATGTGAATCACCTTTTCTGTGTTTACTTTCCACACAGTGGGGTCTCAGCCCGATTCCTTGCTTGTTAAAGAGATTTGATGAAGCAACTTTGATCTGAGAATTACAGAGCAGCATTTCATTTTAACATACTTAAAAGGAAATAGTGGCTTTATTTTAACATCGCCTATATCAGAGATACCCTATACCAGAGTCACTGGCAATATGCATGCAAGGTGCCCTCCTGACCATGGGCATTTGTTGAGCCTGTATGGCAATGGGACTGAGCACCAGAAACCAGCAGATACTAGTGAATTTAAGGTTCTTTTCCCCTTTAAAAACAAAAAACAAAAAACAAAAAAAAACTATATACCATCACCTTCAAGATGAATATTGCATGTGCCCAGTCTATAATAAACCTTCCATCTTACATATGGTCAGAGTCCACCCATTCCTTCTAAGAATTCTTAATCCCTATCACTACACTGCCAGGACCACACATGCATGGGACATTTAATGGGGATCTTCTTTTTCTTTACAAGAAAAAAATGTCCACACCCCAGTCCTGGTCAGTAGCCATGCCCGATTGAAAGGCCACTGCCCGTGAGCTTGAGGACGCCGGTGCGAGCTATGGATGTAAAGAGGCAGCGGGGGCGGTACGCGGCAGATGGGGCTTCCAGACACCCGCAGAAAGTACAACTAGCCGGCGACCCGACCCCACCCCTTCGAGTAGCCCCCTGTGCTGAGTGAGAGGTGGCAGGTGAGGGGAGGGTGTGCACTTTCGGCTGCCAGCGCCTGTTTGGAACTTTTTATTCCCTGCCTCGCCAGCCGAAATCCCGAACGGGAAGAACTCTGAGGGATTTTCGGAGCAACCTGACATGCTAAAATGGGGGTGCTGGGAATGATCTTCACAGCGCACAGAAGCGGGAGCGGCCCCCGCACCCCTACGGCCACCCCAACCCGGTCCGGGCTCGGAAACGCCGCGAGTAAGTTACGGGGGGGAGGGTGCGGGGGAGCCAAGCAGTGCCCAGGCCGCAGACAGCACGGTGCGGGGCCTTTGAGGATAAAAAAATGGATACGGGTTTCTGGTTTCCTGTTACTTACGTCTGCAAACACGTATATTTAAAGGAAAAAAAAAAAAAAACCGCAACCGGAATCCAAAATGTTAGGAAACCTGTACCATAAGCACCATCTTTGTTGAAGGCGAAAGCCCTGAACAGGAAGTGGTATCGCCATCTTTGTTGAGGGCAAACACAGGAAGTGCTGTGGCCATCTTTATTGGGGGACCCAAGTGTCAGATTGAAGCCTTTTTCGCCATGTTTGCTGTGGGTAAACAATCTATCCCCGTGATATGGAAAATAGTAGCATCATTTAGGGGGTTATCTAAGGAAAGGAACAATTGGATGATTGCATTTTAACACCAGAACTCCACCAGGGCCTTGCACACAATTGGCGTACCTTATCAGCGAAGCCTTCCATGACCATTCTATTTAAAATTCCAACACTGGGGCTTGGGGTGGTTTAGTCGGTTAAGCAGCAGACTGTTGATTTGGGCTCAGGTCAAGATTTCAAAGTTGATAGGATCCAGCCCCTCATCCAGCTCTGAGTTAATAGAGCGGAGCCTGGTTGGTATTCTCTCTCTCTCTCTCTCTCTCTCTCTCTCTATGCCCCTAACCGGCTCACATTCTCTCTCTCAAAATAAATAAATAAACATTTTAAATTGCAACATTCATCTCCTGCACCTCCCATCTCTTTTCCAACTTTGTTTTCATTTGTAGCACAAATTACTGTCTTATTAAAACTTTCACTTAATTATTTGTCATCTGTTAACCCCTACTAAAATGTATGGTTGTTTATATCATTTTATATCAGAGTTCCTGCCCACGAAGAGATTACAAGTCAGTAAATCATGATTCGGTTGTAGCAATCTGCTAGCTACTCTAGACAGAAAGGGATTTGTCATGGAGAATTGGAGACATTCACAAGAAAGGCTGGAAAAGTCCTGGCCATCCAAAAATGACTCCCTACTGCCTGACTCATGGCCACAATTAGGAAGGTCTCCATTGGGAAGCCACCACTCTTCAGTCCCCACCTCTTCTCAGCACTGACAGAGCAAGTGACTGGACATTGAAACACTGCTGCAGAAAAACCAAGGTCTCCACAACTGTAATTACCAGCAGCATCAAAACAGCACCTACAAATCTTACTCTGATGTGTGCAATTGGTAAAAATCTACTTTGCATGCAGGACATTAGCAGCAAAAGTGTCTGGGGCATGTAGTTTGGAGTTTTCCAACTTCTGAAACACAGAAAGACATTCTCAAAAGACAGCAGCTGGGGCACCTGGGTGGCTCAGTCGGTTGAGCATCCAACTTCAGCTCAGGTTATGGTCTCATGGTTCGTGGGTTCGAGCCCCACGTCGAGCTCTGTGCTGACAGCTAGCTCGGAGCCTGGAGCCTGCTTTGGATTCTGTGTCTCCCCTTCTCTCTGCCCCTCCCATGCTCATGCTCTGTCTCTCTCTGTTTCTCAATAGTAAATAAATGTCAAAATAAATAAATAAATAAAAATAAAAAGACAGCAGCTGATACTAGGATGTGATCTGCTGAGTTCACCACATTTTTCATTTGGAAGGCAAGACAAATGCATGATCTAAATATAGAGAGCTGGCAGACTATCAATAGGAGGCTCCTTCCTGAATTCCTTTATGAAATGAGGCAATCAATAAATACATTCGTTGATTCACTTTTAAATCAATTAGGTGATACATGCAGAAAATCATATGCCTGCTAAAAATTGGTTGACAGTAACAGGAAAGAAAACCTCAAATATCACTATTTCTATAAAGGTTTTCTCAACAAAAACCTCTATTAGAAGATGAAAATATCTTTGTAGGCAAGTAGTGGAAAGCAATTCTAAACCGCCCTCCTCAAAACCTTCTAATATTTGTAACCAGTGTTAAGTGTTATTATACTAATATGCCATTTTATTATACAGCAGTGACAATTTTTTTACATAGGTGACAAGTATTAGAATCAAAGTGGCCAAATGTCCTAGCCAAAATTTCACAGCTATATATAGAAAAACCTGAATTCTAAACAGTTCCTTCCAATTTCATGCCCTTTCCAGTACACAATATACCACACAGCCCTGTATGGTGAAGGGTCTGTTGTTCTAATGACAGCCAAAACATTGGCAAATCATTCTGGTGCCACCTCCTACTTTTGATACTCCTGAGTTGCTAGGACTCTCTTCCCTCCCTTCCTCTTTTTTCCCTTTTTTCTCCCCTCTGGAATGGCTTTCATTTCTTGGGCAAGATTTACCTTCTGTAAGTGGACAGGTATTAGCAGCATCTTCTGCCTTCAACCAGATGAAGTCCAGACCTCTCATGGTATTAGCAATAGCTGAGGCTACAGACTTCTGGGAGTAGTTTTTCTGACTAGAAACTTTGATCATTTTCAAACATATAGTAAAGTTGAAACACATGGCACAAGGCACACCCACATAAAACCGCCTAGTTTCATACACTTCCTAATGACTTGTTCTACTTGGAAAGACTTGAGATCTTCTGGGAACTAGAAGGAGACATTGATGATGATGTCCAGGTGACGTGGGGAGCCAACAGTGAGTTCCATGAAGAGTTCGCAGAAGAGAAGAAAGGAGAGTAAGAGACAGCATGAGGTATGTTAGTGCTGGAGCTGAGGGCTGTGGAGTCCAGATGGTGAACAACCTAAGAGGTTGGCTGTTATGGATTTGACTTAGATCCAGAAAATGGAGCCCTTGACCATTAAATTCCTCTTCCTATGGCAAATTTAGAAGAGTATTCATGCTGCCCCCTAAGCATCCAGGCTGGCTTTCTGATTGACTAGCCAACTGCCATCAGTTAGCCAATTGGAGGATCACCACCCCACAATGATGTACAATGATACTTCGGAGCAGCAGGCCGAAGGTTCAGTTTCACTCATATAAATATCTAAGGCCAGTGGCCCTGAAAAAATCAAACACAGATGAGAATCACTATCACAGATGATTACTCCTCCACTCTGTTTATCCCCTCTCCGTAGGCTGGAAATGTGCCCCCACAGGGGATTAAGCACCTGTTACTCAGTGGTAACAAGTCTATTTTCAGGAAGGACAGATATTTTCCTTTTTCTCTTTCTCCTACCATGTTTCCTTGTGTCAAACCCGTTGTTAGTTTGCAAAACAAAGAGTCAAAAAGAACAAATGTGTCATTTTTCTTTCAATTTTGTCTTTAGTCCTGCAACTTTCAAAACAAAAATCAAAGGAGTTGGACATTTTTGGTTCTTCCTGTTTCATGGGCGTGGAAATTAAGTCATGGAGAAAAATAGATTCTCTTCTAGCACACTTGAAACAGTCACAGAAATAGATCATGAATTAAGTTACAAAGAAACTTCGGTAAATTCCAAAAAAAATCAATAGCGTACAAACTATGCACTCCACCACTTTACAATAAAGTTAGAAATTTTAACAAAACAGATAGCTTCAATCATTCCCATAAGCTTAGAAACTAAATAAAATAACTCTTAAACTCTTGATTTAAAAAAAAAGTCTGCTAGTACAGCAAGATGGAAAACAGTACAGAGATGCCTTAAAAAATCAAAAGTAGAACTCTCATATGACCCAGCAATCCTATTTCTGAGTATGGTTCCAAAGGAAATGAAATCAGGATATCAAACAGATGTCTGCATTCCCATGTTCATTGCAGCGTTGTAGACAATAAGCAAGATATGCAATCAACCTAAGTGTCCATTGGCAGTTGACTGGATACAGAAAATGTGAGACTGTATGTATATGTGTCTATGTACAATTCTAAATATACGTATATTTGGCCTTAAAGAAGAAGAGAATCACACCTATTAGAATGACCGAAATCCAGAATTCTGACAATGCTGAATGCTGAAGATGTTGAGTAACAGGAACTCTCATTCATGGCCAGTGGAAATGCCCAATGGTAGAGCTACTTTGGGAGACAGTTTGGCAGTTTTTTACAAAACCAAATATATTCTTATCATATGATCCAGCCATTGTCCTCCCTGATATTTACTCAAAGGAGTTGAAACCGTGTTCACACAAAAACCTGACACAAATGTTTATAGGAGCTTTATTCATAATTGCCAGATTTGGAGGCAATGGGTCCTTCAGTAGGTAAATGGCTGATTACACTGTCATACTTCTAGACAGTGGAATATGATTCATCCCTAAAGAAATGAGCTACCAAGCACGAAAATACATGGGGGAACCTTAAATGCATATTACTAAGTGAAAGAAGCCAATCAGAAAAGGCGACCTACTGTATGTCCCAACTCTATGACATTCTAGGAAAGACAAAACTATGGAGACAGTGAAAAGATCAGTGGTTGTCAGGAGATTGGGAGGCGGATGTTAATAGGGCAGTCACAGGGGATTTTTAGGGCTGCAAAAATACTCTATCAATACCATAATGATGGGTACATGTCATTATACATTTGTCCAAACCCATAAAATGTACAACACCAAGAGTGGGGGCACCTGGGTGGCTTCGTCAGTTAAGCGTGTGACTTCAGCTCAGATCATAATCTCACGGTTTGTAGGTTCGAGTCCTACGCTGGGCTCTGTGCTGACTGCTCGGAGCCTGGAGCTTGCTTTGGATTCTGTGTCTCCTCTCTCTGTCTCTGTCTCTCTCTCTCTCTCAAAAATAAGCATTACAAAATGTTTTTTAAAAGAGTGAACCCAAAGGTAAATTATAAACTTTGGGTGATTATAATGTGTCAATGTAGGGTCATCACTTGTTATAAATATACCAGTCTGCAAGAAGATGCTGATAATGGGGATTATCTATATACATGGGGTACAGGGTATATAGCCAATCTGTATACCTTTCCCTCAGTTTTGTTGTGACTCTTAAACTGCTCTAAAAAATAGTCTTGAGGGAGAGAGAGAAGGAAATCTTGTCATATACTACGACATGGATGAATGTGGACGATATTACACTAAGTGAAATAAGCCAGACATAGAAGGACAAATGCTGCATGATCTCACTTCTGTCCAAAATCTGAAAAAGTCAAACTCATAGATGCAGAGTATGATGGTGGTTGCCAGGAGTTGGGAGTGGGGAAAATGAGATTTTGGTGAAAGGCTACAAAGTTTGAGTCATGCTGGATGAGTAAGTTCTGGGGAATCTAACGTAGATTATGGTAGCTGTCATTAGTACT